TGCTGGGTTTGAAAGTACATGTTCAGATCTGTCAGAGTATATATATTGCAGCAGTGATATCTACTGGAGTAAACGCTGATATTTACCATCATGTGTATATACTTGATTCAATCATCTCTATGACATTAGCTGTATGTGTGCTTACACATTCACAGATGTCTGTCTTTACATGTACATGCACACAAATACAAACACATGCATATGAATTAAATGGAAACTGTAACCCAATCTTAACCAGGGCTTTAAATTAATCATAATACATACACACGTTTACAAACATTGGGGCTATATTTAACTTCCACATAAGCATATCTTCTGTGGAGCTCTGCAGTTTATGAGTCAGACCCAAAGCCTGTTAGTTAGCTGGTGGAAAGACGCCACTGACTTTATTGGGCTTTGGACCAGACCCGAAGCCAATGGTTAATTGTCTCATATAATATAACTTTCCCTTCCAGCAAACTTAAGATAAACTTTGATTCTAATTCCAATAACTCTCTATAATTTTTTCCAAACAAATTCCTTATGGACTAGAAATGCCCGTTCTTGTTCTGGGCATTTTTCAATGCTTTCACGTTTCTTTGTTTTGAAAATTGATTCAGTCATGTTAAATGTTATGCAAGCTTGAAAAAGATCACAGTCTCCAACTATCCAAAGTAAAATTCTCATACATACATAGCTCAGAAATAAATGTCATTAGAAACTTCAAACTTGGCTGGTATTAAAGCCATCTTTGAGGAAGGAAAAACAATTCACATTTGCAGAAATTCCGCCTGGTGTTTTAGAAAGTAAGAATAGTTTAGGATTACGTGTCCATCTCAGCTTTCTCAATTTATTATATGCCCTGTACAACTTTCTATTTTCTTTCCAGGTTTTTTGACTTGGATTGATTTTGAGTATGTACATGAAAGATGCAATTATTTAGAGGGAAAATTAACATGCCTGCACTGATCTTCTTGAATTAAAGGGAGAGCTGCCTAAAGATCTACATTTGAACTCCAAGCTAATAAGGCTGTTAAGTTCATCTTAATTTGAGTATCATAACTGGCAGAAATGCAGTTAAAGACATTTCATTTTAAAGAAATGACTCTTGAAGAGGCTTTTGACTAAAGATGCTGCCAGTCCTCCTTTGAATAATGTCTAAATTAAAATTCTGAGTTAAAAGCTCATGTCTAAGCTTTCTGAACATAGATATTGGATACACAGTTCATACTTGGGCTGTCTATAAAAAGGATGTGGCTGAAGTTTTTTAGTTGTGCTAATCACTAAAGAAAGTTTGCATTTGGATTATTTTTTTAATCAGTACAGTTGTTATCTGATACAACTGCTGTTGTATGGAGACATCATGCCGCCTTCTGGCACTGCAGGCTCTCAGCTGCTGAGGGTCTTGCAGGGTACTCAAGTCCTGGTCCCCAGCTAAGAGCCAACAGGGAACATCTCTGTTCAGTAGCCTACAGTCTCTGCATAGCCTGATAGGTGCCTCAGAAGCCAATTAATTGAAGGCAATTAATGCTTTAATGTGTTAAAGTGCTTTGAAAACCACTGACTCTGGTTTCTCTCTGTTGTCTATTCCAGTCCCACAGCACATATATTGTATTTTGAAAGCCTCTTTTTTTTGTTTTATAAATAGAATTTAGTGTGCATTGTTTACGTAGCCTCCTACCCAAAGAGACGACTGACAATGTCATGGAAAGAAAAATCTTTGGTCAGACTGACAACATCTACAACATCCCACTGTCTCTTCTTGTGGTATACCACGGACGTGGCTTTCACAGTAAGTCCAAAGCTCATTACAAGGTTTTGAAAAGCATTTATGGCTTTTAGTGAGTAGAGTGTGAGGAGCAGATGCTCCCCAGGACTAATGCACACAAGCTCGACATAATGTGAGGGCAGGTCTCAGAGCCCCAGGAAAATCTCTTCCAGTCCTTGCTGATGTAAATGGAAACAGGTCCATTGACTTACATCTAACTGCATTTACAGTGTAAGAGAATCACCCCTTGAGTTTTAAAGCATCCCACCCTTACTTCTGTATTTGTGTTAGCTGATATTTGCATAATAAAGCCCAATGCACACAAAACATTGCATCAAAAGAAAGTTGCTCCTTCCCTCCGGCTTGTGTTTTGGAAATAATTCTCTTTTCCTCCACTCCCGAGAGCTTTCCCACACCACTTGCAGTCTTCCAGTTAACATAATTTTGTCATCCTTTGCTACCAGACCTCTTTCCCTCCCACTGCCACTTCCTTTCTCTCTGGTATGCAAAGGGAGCCTGAGTCACAGTGAAGCCTCTAAATACTGCCTTCTTTTTCTACATTGGGCAGCAACAGTGGTGGTCAGAGAGTCCTGAATGTGTTTGTCGTTGTATGGTACCTCCTTCTCCAACATACATCAAGTGCACATCCCACCCTACCTGTTTGCTGGGTGTCTGGTACGAAACACCTACCACAGAAGCGTTGCTCAATTAGGCTGAAAAGAACATTTTGTTTGGGCTGCATCTTTTTATGTCTGGGTCCCTGGATCTCAGTCCTGCCCAGTGCTGATCACCCTGACTCCACGGCCCCATTGTCTGCCCCAGCTTCGATGGGAGTGCACCACAGACACAGAATCACTCTCAGATTCTGAACACTGCCTCCCTCCCAAGGTTTGCCTTACAGCTCACTAGTAAGGCCTAAGTCTGTCCTATTTGACTAAGTAGCTTTGATCGTTGTGTGACCGTATGCAAGAGGTTTGTTCTCTTCCAGAGGCTTAAACAAGAAGAAAAGCTGAGAGCGTTGATCGCACTGCCAGGAGAATCAGTGGCTGGCTGAGGGGTCTCCGCACCGCACCGTACCAGGCAGCAGCACGGAGGTGAGCCGGTGGTGGGCACTCACCTCCTAGTAGGAGTTTCACTCTGTGCTGCGGTGGGGCCCTCAGCTGCAGCCGCTTCCCGAGATGAAAAGGATAGCTTTGCACGGTGGATTTATTGCACATTCCTGGTCACACGAGGGAGACTGTGTCCAGGTAGCTGCCTCTCTTGTTCTCCCTTTAATCACTGCAGGGTGGGAACCGGATCCAGCCTGGGGGGATAAAAGATCTCCGAGATGAAGAAGTACAATGGAGTGGAGTTAATGTCAACCGGTTTATTGTTGTAAGCAAATCACTACCACATCTCTCTATGCAGCATGTTACAATTTACTACTCGTAGTTAAATGAGTCAGAGCTGTTGCTTCTGGTTCTGCCTCCAGCTTCTCCTGCCGCAGAGCTGGACAGACAATGGGTCCGTGTTGCGGAGGGGCCTCGGGCCAGCCCCAAGGAGCTGTGTGTTGCAATGCCCATTATTGCAATGCCTCATTTTTAGGCTCCCTGCTGTGGAACAGATTGCTCAGGCCAGGGACAGACACCACTGTGCTTCACACAAGGTGTGGAGAGAGTTAAAATTCCTAATGAAAGGAAATTTCAGGAATACACACACTATATATATATAAATATATATATATTCTAATATATATATAGTGAGACCCAGCACTGTGACAGACTGGAAGAAGGTGTCTCTTTCTGACACAAACTCCCTCTCAGTTAAGTGCCTAAACCACATCAGTCTGCTTTTGTGGAAACTAGAGAGGGAGAGGGGCACCTCACTGCATCCAACTGCTCATTGGGTACAGTATGTTATATCTCAAGCAGCAGGAGTCTTACTTGCCAGTCACCACTCTGCTGGATTTAATTTGAACGGCCCTACGGCTCTGAGGAGTGTCCTGGCCATGAGGCTATTTAGGCAGCTGCTTTTTCTTGCACTCTCTGGCCACCTCCGTGTCTAATATAAGATCAAGTGCATCATAAGGAAAGATGAAGAGCAATTATCTCAGAGTCCCTAACAAATTGGTGATTGGGATTTTCACTTTACACACAAAATACCTGACTTCAGTTGTTTACCTGAAATCAGGCAGCACCGAAGAGTTAGTGCTAAGTATCCCATTTGTTCAGCAGACCTCTTTCTTCCCAGATTTTTAGGAAGAAGGTCTGTTGTGACTCAGGAGACTTACACAAGATGATGAGCCTGGATTGAAGCATACGAGTACTACTGAGAAGCAGGCTCACCCCCTCCCCTGCGCCTGGCCTTTACAATGGGTAAGTTAGGCAGCTTCTCTGCTTTGCCTCTGATTTCTGAAGGTTGTGTTCTCAGGCACAATCCTGAGCAGCAGGAGGCTGCTGCTGCTGCGCCTAACTCACTTGCTGTATTCAATCTGCCC